CAGCGCGTGGCCTCCAGCCCGCCTGGCCGTGGTGCCTGCAGCCAGCACAGTCCCAGCAGGAAGAGCACAAACAGCCCCACCTTGCTTAGCACCAGGCTCCCGGGAAGCTGCCAAGCCCTGACAGGAAGCCAGTGTGCCGAGTTTCCCAGCAGCTGTAAACAATTTTGGTGAAGTGCTGTTGTGCAGTCTTGCTCTGCAGGGTGGATTGGGAGAGGCTGCTGAGGGAATGCTTTGTGCAGGGCGAGCTGTTGCTCAGGAAAAGCCCGACATGACTGCAGTGAGCTCGGGGTGAAGGAAAAGTCAGCACCAGAGATCCCAGAGACAAAACCAACAAACAGCAGCACCTCTGATCAGGCCCTTTCCACAGCTGACAGGCATGACTGCAGCCATCTCCAAAACAGCTGTGTCCTGGCACCCAGCACCATCACTGCCTTCCCACCCGCCCCAGGGCCTGGCCTCAGGCAGCAGTCTCTGCCAGGGAAGGTCGGATGCACTTGTTAGTCCAGCCCCGAGCTCAGCTACCCTGGTGGCTTCTCCCACCAGGAAAAGTGAGAGCAGCATGGAGAGCTGATTCTGCTCAGCTGAGGAGAGCTAAGGTGCATCCCTTCAGCCCATGGGGTGTCCCAAGAGCAGCACAGAAGACCAGGTGAGCCAAATGTTTATTGATACTCAGTTCTGCTGTCCACAGGGAAGCCAAAACACAGCCCTGAAAAAGCAGCAGTGTCATGAAGGTCTTGGAACCAGGACCTCATCTCAGTCCCAGTCTGCCCAGCACTGGCCTTGTCACACCCATCCCTGTCTGCCACAGCTCCTCCCAGCTAGACCTTAATTCTGCAGCCTGTTAGCAGCGGTGATCTGCTCCAACTGCCTCCATGACACTCTTGAAGCCATGCTCCCTAACCAGGGATGGTGTATGCTAGGACTGGGCTGGCACTGCTCGGGCACCAGCACACAGCTGTCCTGAGCTGTGCTAGGACCAGGGGCTCTCTGGGGACATGCCTGGCCTCCGCTCACCTGAGCAGCTCCTCCAGTTCACGCTTGACTGTCCCCACCACTGGTGGCCCGTGGAACACAAGCGCTGTGTAGAGCTGCACGAGCGAGGCTCCAGCACGGATCTTCTCCAGGGCGTCCTGCCCGCTGCTCACCCCCCCCACGCCAATGATGGGCACCCGGCCTGAGGGCAGGGCGCCGGCTCAGGCTGGCACAGGCAGTGCCGGCAGGCGCCCCCAGCCCTGCCGGGCCCTCACCTTGAGTGAGAGCGTACATGTCCCTGATGGTCTGCGTGGAGAGCTCCCGCAGGGGCTTCCCGCTGAGGCCGCCGGGCTCCGTGCGCTGCCGGCTCCGGAGGCCGCTGGGCCGGCTCACCGTGGTGTTGCTCACTATCAGCCCATCCACACCGAGCTGCAGGGGCAGTAGGGTGAGGACACAGCTCCAGAAGCAGCCCGACCTCCCCTTCCCCTCCTGCCGGGTCAGGAGCACCCAGCACATAACCCAAAGCTGCCCATCACTGCCTGGGTGACACACATGGGCCTTCACAGACTGACCAACCCAGGACACCATCCCTATAGCAGCCAGAGAGCTGCAGGCATACGTGTCCTTCCGAGACGTGACTTGCTGGGACCACCATTGTCCTGCCTCCAGTGGCCTTCCCTTCCTACTTCCTCACCTCACAGACAACGCTGGCGATGTCCTGCTTGTCCTGTGCAGTGAGGTCAGGGGCAATCTTCACCAGCAGGGCTGGCTTCTGCTTGCAGGGCAGCAGGTCCCTCTCCACCAGCACCTGTCGATGCACGTGGCAGTGCACGGCAGGGAGAGGCCTCCTGCCCCAGCTAGGAGTTATGGACACCCACTACCACAGGCAGTACAGGGAGAGGCCCTGCTCCTCTACTTGGCACCAAAGCCAGGAAAGGCACCCTTGGCACAGGGCCTGGAGCACACAGCAGGCACAGGACCCCAGTGATGCCTGAAGTTGTGGGGTGGATGGCTCGCTGCCTCTTACAGGAGCAAACAGAGGGCAACGCCTCACTGCTCCTGAGCCCTTTGCCGGGATACAGTGCCCTAGTACTGCCCATGGCAGCAGCCAACAGGTACATCTCAGTGGTCCTGCCCACCATGCAGGAAAACCACCCCCATTCCTCCCTGTGCTCGGGTAAATCCACTGGCTGCAGTAGTGCAGCTACTGCCAGGAGAATGGGGTGCATCCAGTGCTCTAGCTGTGGGCTAGCTGGGGGAGAGGCATCTACCTTGCTCAGCAGGTCCCGCAGCTCAGCCTTGCCCTGCAGGTCCCGCAGCCCTGGGGTGTTGGGGCTGGACACGTTCACAACAAGGTAGTCAGCCAAAGGGCCCAGTGTCCGGACCCCAGCCACGTAGTCAGCTGCAGCATCAGTAGAGCTCTTGTTCTTGCCCAGGTTGACTCCAAGAGGCATCCCAGCTGCAACCCAGACACAGCTGAACCAGGGCAGCAGGACCAACCACCACCCAATGGCCAGAGCACCCAAAAGAGGAGGTCCCAGGACCAGCTAAAGTTAAGATGAGGATGGATATATATATATATATATATATATATATATATATATATACATATATATATATATCTCCCATGTATTTCATGAGGATGGGCCTGGGACTGTCCTACAACCACGGGAGCATTGCCACAGCCACCCCAGTCAGCACCTCCCAGCACCACAGCCTTCAGCCTGGCAGAGGCTGCCCACAGGACCTGCTCTGCTGGGGTCCTCTTGGCTTTGGCTATGTTAGCAGACACATCCTCCCCAAAGCAGCAAGTGGAGCTTGATCCCAGAGAAAACAGCAGGAGAAACGTGTTTAGTCACAATGCCAGGGGTGTAACTATAGCCCCAAGAGCTGTCCAAGTCTTCCTCCAGCCAAGGTGCTCCCGTGCCTGGATACTGGCATTACACACCAATCCTGGCCTACAGGTACCTGGGAGATGCCCAAACCTACCCTGCAGCCACCAAGAGCAAAGGCTTACAAGCTTGTCTCACCAGCAGTGAGCCTGATCTGTGTCTCCTGGCGGGCTCGCAGCCTGCGCTCCACCACGACGTGGCCATGGCTGTTGAATCCGTACCTGCACCAGGACAGAGGCAGTTCAATGCTGGGTTATGTCTGCAGGCCCTGAACAGGACACGTGAAAAACATGAGGCAGATGTGTGGTCTCTGCAGCTTTGCTCAGCACATCCAACCAAAAGCCACCACACCTCCAAAAACGTGGGGCCACCCAAATATTCACCCTCCCTCACGGAGGGCAGACTGTAGGACATTGCAGAGCAGCTGCCCTCAGATCCCACCTGTTGATGACTGCCTCATCCTCTGCCAGCCGGAAGACCCTGGGCTTCGGGTTCCCTTCCTGGGGCTTGGGCGTGACAGTCCCCACTTCCACAAAGCCAAAGCCCATCTTGTACAGCCCGTCCACAGCCTCGCACTGCTTGTCGAAGCCAGCAGCCAGGCCCAGTGGGTTGCGGAATCGCTGCCCGAAGACTCGCACCTCCTGCGGGGCTGGGGCAGAGCCCACAGACTCCAGGAACCGTTGCCAAGGCCTCACTCCAGCCCCCCTCCCGACAGAGCCGGCCGCCTCCCCTGCCCTTCGCGGTGTCCTTATGGGGTGCCTGCCGAGGGTGCCTCGTCGCCCGCCAGGGATTCGACGGGACGCAGCCGCCTGCGCACCACGCCGGACTCTGCCACCCAGCCCTTAGCCCTCGGTTCTGAGCGCCCTTCCGACCTTCCCACTCCCCCCTCCTCCTCCGCCGCCCTCGAGACGCACCAGCGCGGGGCTGTCGGGACGGGTGGAGGGCAGCAGCCCGAGGGCCGCGGCGCGCAGGGCCAGGCCATGGGCGGCCTCGGGAGGCAGCGCCCGGAGCGCGGGCATCACCGTCGCGTACAGCCGCTCGTCCCCTGCCGCCAGCGCCGATCCCAGGAGCAGCCCGCAGCCTCCCAGCGCCAGCAGCCGTCCCTGTGCCAGGGCGTTAGCAGCGCACCAGCAACGGTTCCCCACCGCAACCGCACTCAGCCCATCCCCTCCCTTCCCCACCCCGCACCCGGCCCCGATCTCGCACCACCCGTCCCTTTCCGTCCCGCCCCGGCACTGCCCGCTCCAGCCGCCACCGGCCAAGGCCAGCGGTGCCCAGGCTCCCATGGGCGGCCCCGCCAGGCCGGCCCCGGCTCCCCGGCCGCTCACGCGCAGCGACGCCGCCATCACGCTCAGCCCGCCACGCAAGGACACTTCCGGAGACCCTCTCTGTGATTGGCCGAGGCAGTACCGCTCCAGCCAATAGCGGCGCAACAGAGGCGGCGACGAGAGTCCCGGCCCGCGCTTTATTGAAGGAGGGGCAGAGGGCGAGCCCCGGGAATAGGGCAGGGACGGGAACGGGACACGAACAGCGGCAGCCATGGCACGGCTGCAGAGTGTCACCAACAGATACCTTACAGTCCCGGGATGCCTCGACCGCGACTCGGGTAGGGTAAACAAGGTGCTGCTGCGTATCCCATCAGACCACCCTCTGTGCCTTGCCTCCAGACCTCGACGGGCCATAGCTGCTCAGCACCCGCATCAAAACCCCGAGGCAGCGGCACAGCCTGTCTAGCTCTGCCCTCTCAGGGGCTAGTCACATACCCAACAGGCCCAGGCAGATACTGTTACCCTTCTGCAAACTGCAAATGGACTCCGCCGAGAACACCATCAAGGCCAATGAGGGCTCCCCAAGAGAAAGCCTCTGCTGGGAGGCATGGAGCCATCATGGAGGCAGCCAGGAACAGTGCCCAGAACATCATGCACAGCTTCCCCATACAGCTACCCAGACTGACAGGGGTTCTTCCTTGCCTCACTCTCACAACATTCCCCACAGTTCATCTCCTGGAGCAGCAAAGATCAGGAAAGCGGCAGCACTTGGTGTAAGTACAGCAGGAAGAGAGCTCAAAAAGAAGAGCATGTTCATTGGAGGTTAATACATGAAACCAATTTCAAAGAGAGTCTGTTTCAGAGAGGAGATATCACACATCTCCTTCCCCTCCTTCCTGCAGCCCAGGAAGTTTTACGTTTTCTTCTTCAGCTCCTCAAATCTCCGTGAAAGATCATCGAAGTCAATGTCTTCCGAGGCAGAAGAGTTGGCGCCAGCAGATGCTGTTGGCAGTGTGTCTGGCACAGATGGCAATTCAGGCAGTACAAAGTTATCAAAGCTATTAGGAGCTCCAGCTCTTGGTTTAGGAGAAGCTTCTGGCTTGGGCTCAGGCCCTGTTGATAAGAGAAGTATCACTGCAACTCACCATCAGCATACACTCACCGGGCCAAACAGAGCCCCACAAAGAACAGTCATTCCAGCAACGGGCAGTACCAGAGGGTTTTTCAGAACAGCCCCTAATATCCAAGCTTTTCCAAGCCTCAACATACTCACCAGGCACTAGTGCAGCAGCATCCTTGTCAGCGTTAGGCTCATCAATCTGAAAAAGACTCTCAGTTACTACAGCTCTGTCCACCAGGCATGGTCACACCAGCACACAAGCAGAGCTCAGAGGCACAGCTCTGGCAGATCAGTGCACACTCCTCCCCACCCCTAGCAGGCAGCTGTGGCTTTACAACAATGCGCCTCTCTTCCATCAAACAGAGGCAGCTCTTCAGCTTCTCTCTCCCTCCTTGTCAACTAAAGTAGCTTCACTGACCATATTCTGAACTGGATCAATCGAGTGTATCCACTATCAGGTCTGAAATATTTATCAAGGCCACCAGTGAGAAAACACCGCCCTCTTCATCCTTGTCATCACAGCTCCTTGCTGCCTTTCTCCATAAACCACTGACAGGCCCTTGTGACTAGCAGCAGGGTCTCAGTCTGTCTGGGAGAAAGGCTCATGGCACACACAGCTGTGCTAGTAAAGGTTCTTATTCCCTGCATGCTGCAGCCCTCAACACCCATTCCTACCCAATTCACCTGCACTGCTGCACCTATGAGGACACAAAAGTGTGAGCACCACAATGCTCAACTGTGCTCCTCCCTACTCAGGATGATGCAAAAACAACAGCATGTCACCAAAAGCAGACTGGCAGGCATGATGACAAACTGCAGCAACAAAACCAGAGACAAGCGTAGAAAGGGAAGTCTCCAGCCTCTGCTTTGTTGTCCCCAAGGACTGAGGAAAGTCTGTGAAAGGAAGAGTCTCTAAACATACAGCATCTGCGTCAGTCAAAATTGTCATCCAGGCCGTTAATTAGTTCAAAAGCCATAATTAAACAGACTCAAGGTGATAAACTCTTCACACAGCAAAAAACAGAACTTGTGGATTCTGCTTATTAACTGTTTAACGCCACTTTAACAATGCAGCAAGAGAAATCTTGAGTTTCCTTTGCAGCCAAAGCACAGAGCTGAACGAGGAACTTCTCTCCACAAGTCATCCTTCCATCATGTGCATTCCCTGATTCACTTCAGTAGCAAGCAATGCCAGCACCACCCCAAAAGCCTGAAAGCTTAGCTTAGTATCCTTTACAAACATTTCCCTTCTCTGTGGCTACCACTGCACTCTGAGGACCCCTCTGCTGCCTGCAATAGCCATTCATCTCAGGCACTTACGGACTCGTATGTGGGTGGGTTTGCCGGAATTGGTGGTGGGTGGATGTTACTGAAAGGCTGGTAGGTCCCCACTGGCAGGCCACTGAAGTTCTCCTGTACAGAGAGATCAGTCATGCAGCACACCACTCATCTGAGACACCACACACCTACAGCTGCCATGGGAGTCACAGGAAGTAGTCTTAGATAAATGCAGGCACATATTCAAGTGGGTAAGAGTTTATGCTTACAAGGAAGGGATTCTCAAGTATTAAGACAGATGTAGTCACCTGGAGCAGGCAGACCCAGCTAACTGGACTGTGGGTTAGAAGAACCAGCACAGGTAAACATTTCATCTTTCAAGGCACAAGAAGCACCAGGCCAATAAAGGAAATACTCTGCCATTTCTGGCCCTGTGTGCAGTACTGCAGAATAGGAAAGAGGTTTCTGGCTCACACAAGGCTTTGAGTTGCCCTCATTTGTCACACAACAGCACCTCAAGGACCCAGACCTGGCACAAGCCCTCAGCACGTTTATGCCTGGGCCAACAGCCAGGTGATGATACTTGGCCCATATTTTCCACAAAAAGTACTTCAGCGCTACTGGGACCATATTAAGACTCAAAGTCATCCCACTGTTCTGCTCTCCAGTCTACACAGATATCCTGTAAATTACTTCATTCAGAGAACGGAGGAGTTCTTTTCAGCTCCCACCCTTACAACAAACCCTCTGCAAGAGCCATTGGCTCAGTCTTCTTCCCTTGCAGATCTGCAGGCAGGGCTCTTCCGCATTTTTCTGTGCTATTCCCACCCCACAACACTCACCTGATTTCCTTGACTGAATCCTGGCACACTACCAGCCTACCAACTTCAAAGTGCAGCTCCAACTCCTGGACAAAAGCCTGGCAGTCAGAAGACTGCCTCAGGAGTTAAGTCTGGACTCCTCTGTTCCCTGAAGGCAAAGAGGGCTGGCTGCAGAACAGGGGTAGGAACCTCCACAGTCAAGATGCAAGATTAAGCTTCAGCTGTACTGCCAACAGCCTCCATCCCATGCAGAATCACACTGAGAAGATGGCCTTCTGACACACTGAGCTAACAGGTACAGTCAGCAGGCACAGCAGGGCTAAGCACCACAGAAGATGGCCTTCTGACACACTGAGCTAACAGGTACAGTCAGCAGGCACAGCAGGGCTAAGCACCACAGTCAGCAGGGCTAAGCACCACAATAGGAGTCTTTCACAGAAAAAGGAAACACACAAAGCCCAGAAACTTACCGGTCCCTTAGGAGGTGGATAAGAGAAGGGTGGATTTGTTGTTGGCATGGGCATAGGCATCATCACGGGCATGGGTACCAACCCATCATGACCTATCATTGGGGCTGTAAATCCACCACCTCCGCCCCCTCCATGGCCACCCTTCTTCACATCATCCGTGAAGCCCACATCAATTAGATCTGCCTCTCCACCTGGTGGGGCTTCAGCCTGGAAAGGGCGGAAGAATTCTGTTCACCAACACATCTCTTATGATCACTGCCCTCTGTACACATTAGATGAAGCATCTGTCAATGGACAAGATGGGAATACACAACAGAACAGAGAGCAGCTATACAGCGGCATTAATGGGAAACAGAATGCAAACCAGGCTGTAGCATGTGTAACTACTGCCACATGCCACAGGAGTGCATGAAGGAAGAAGGATCATGCTATGCTAGGGCTGTCTAGAAGACACCAAAGCACAAGGACTACCCAGTTCTCTGCAATGCCACATCCTGAGGCTGACTCACCATCACCACTGAGTCAGGCTCATAGGGCACATTGTAGTTCTTTGCAATCTCAATGAGGTATCTCTCCACCAGGATCTTGGGTGGTGCTTCCACACTCAGCTTGTGCATCAGCTGGAACACAAGGGTGGAGAGGCTTAGTAGAGCCAGGGCAATGCAGCACCCAACAGCTCTGTACCAGTGCCATCCCAGCCAGGGAGGTGCAGCGGGCAGCCGTGGGGAGGCCCCTGAACCCAGTACAACATGCTGCAGGCAGCCATAAGCCAGGGCTCTATTCACTCTACCCTTCCCCATCCGCAACCAGTAGAGCAGGGCCCCCCTGCCTGGGGCCTCAGCGCCATGTGCCAATGCAGGTGGGCCCTGGCTGCACAGCACCTGCTGTGCTCCAGAGTGATGGTAAGCATCAGGCACCAGCCACGGGTCCAAGGGGCAGCAAGCCTCGGCAGGCGTGGCTGCTCTGCCAGCTCTGCCTGTTCTACCAGTTCCTTACCCTGTCGTTGACTGTCCCAATCTGGTTTGTCCGGCACAGCTTCCCATACTCCTTGCTGTACTTAGCACACAGCTGATCAGCAACCTGCAGCAGGAGAGAAACTCTAGAAGATGCACAGTCCTGCTTTCTCCCACCTCAAACCTCACATCCACTCAGCCCCCTCCCTCATTTTTCCCACTGAGCAGTCCAGTTCAGCAGCTGCAGCCACCCCAGATGCTCCAAGGACATCTGATTTCCATCTGCAGAGCCCATGAAATCCTCTGATATAAAGTCCCAGACAAGGGCATCCATCAGCATCAGGCAGCATCACCCCCACCCTGCATGGGCAGCATCCCTCAAGCAACCCTACTCACAATCTTCAACTCGGCCACTTCTGACTGGAGGCGTGGTGCAGCCCAAATCAGTGTCGATACTGCCTCTGCCAGGCCAGAATCCAGCTCCCTACGACCAAAGAAAACAATTCTCTCTCCACCCCATGCACCCAGCCTTTGCTGCCCTCAATCTCCTTAGCCTTTAAGTTCCCATCCCATGCACTGGGCTCCACAGCCTCCTGTACATGGGGAAGAAAAGGTCTCTGGAGAGACAAACACGGGTGCCCTTCTGTACCCCAGACCTGCCCCCAGCAGTGCCCCTTCCTGAGTCCAGGACCCTCCCAGCCAGAGCTTACTTCATGGACTGGATCAAGCCAAAGCGGGCGAGCAGCAGATCACAGTACAGCTCCAGGATCTCCATGGCCTCCACAAGGTAATCTTCACGGATGATGTGCTCCACACGAATCCTGGCACGCTCATCTTTTCCAGCTGCCAGGTAATCTGCAATCTCCTTCCTTGCCTTCTGGGCCAACTCAGCTGCAGCACACATCCCAAGCCTGGTCACTGTGCTGGCCTGGGCTGCTGCCTCCAGACCGCCCACAAGTCCCCATTACACATAAAGCCACCACCAGCTTCTCTCCCCTACCTAACCTCTGCAGCACGAGACGCTCGGGCATGGCTCGGCAGAGCCCTCATGTCCAGCTCCCAGCACATTTAACTCGTGGGAGTAGGCTGCTGGAAACACTCCTGTACCTACAACCTCCCTACAGAGTTAACCAGGATCACAGGCCTGACCTGTGTCAGGGCAGGGCAGGTGGGGAGGATCTCCCACAGCACCCCGGGAGTTCTCCACTGTGCTCTTAGCCCACATAGCTCACAAATATTAGCTGTTAGCTACCACCCCGCAAATTGCACTCCGACAGCTGCCAGGAAGGTGGACAGAGGCCACGCTGTGGCCGGCCTGCTCTTCCAGTTCCTTGTGCACCAGGGCAGGTTGTTAAGGCCTGGGTCCAGCAAGGAAGAGCAAAAAGCTACTCCATACTTGGCCCATGAAAGTACTCCCAACTGCAGAAATACCATCTCAAGTCTCCTGAGCCCCAAAAGCATCCTGGGTCCCTTAATACTCCCCCTAATACTCATTCTTAATACACCTGCCCCCTTAATACTCACTCTTTTTTTTCTCCAGTAGCTTGAGGCGGTTGATGACGAGGCGCAGGTTGACTCGCAAGCGCTCTGCCTTGAACCCAGAGCCCAACATGATAAACACTTTCTGTGGAGAAGAGGGATGGCCACTGGAACCAACAACTGCCAGTCAGTGTCTGTCACCAGACACGGTTTTACTGCGGGGGAGGCCAAGAAATGCCCCAAACAAGCAAGCCCTGGTCTGCCAATGCTGAATCTAGTTATTTATAAGTGACTGAACCTCGAGTGCTTATTATTGCCTTCCCCACTTCATAACCCTGCACCTCACCAAGACCAATAGGACTGGCCTTAGAACTTCAAGGAAACTTATTGGACATTTTTTTAAAAACGGAAAAGTCAACTGAAGAGCCAAGCCCACCTCTGTCCTATTGAAATACAAGTTATAAACCAGTTAACTAGAGGACTATTAGAAACTAAGGTCGTTCTGATGTCATCATCAGAAGGAAGAAGTTGCCGTTTCACCTTCCCCACACTCTTCTTGCCTACTGAATACATACTTAGTCTCCCAGGAACCAGTTCAACTTATTAATCCTACAGAAAGCAAATCCTAACATTATTTAATTATAGCATTCTGTCTGCCAAAAACCGTTCATCAAGGCAAAGCTTCCTTAAAAGACAGCACATAGAAAGACCTCTGTTTGCATCTCATCTCCCCATCCCTCTCTGCCGGCGGCTCCACCGCCCAGAGCGGAGCGAGCCATGACCTGATCCGGCTGCCGGGACGGCCGCCAGCCACACCAGCCGCTCGGTGAGACTCGCCGCGTCTGGCCTAGTGCCCAGGGACAGTTCGGACAATGCGCAGGAGGCCCTGCATGAGCTCCACCGGCGCAGCTGCACCTGAGGGCTGAGGGGAGAAATCCCTCTCCCTCCCCAGCTAGGTAGCAGCGAGAAAACATCCCACACCACGAGCGGAGCAGGTCCCGGGGCAAGTCCCAGGGCTGCGGGAGACCCTGAGGCAAGGCTCCGCGTCAGCTTCTCGGACACCGAATGCTCCCCGCGGCCCCGCTCACGCATCCCACGGCCCGACTCACCACCACGGCTCCGCAGCTCTGCCACCCAAAATGGCGCGCGGCTTCCGCAAGCCTTCATCGCGTGCGGAGTGATCCTCATAGCCGGCACTCTCCGTACCCAGTCTCCGGCACAGCCTGCACGCAGTCCGGGGCACAGTCGAGCTGGCGCGGCGGGCGCTGTCCCGATCCGCCTCCGCAAATGCGGCCCTGGCGCACTGGCGGCCGGGGAGAGAGGGGCACAGTCTGGGAGAGCGGCGCAGAGGGACTACATGGCCCGGCGGAGGGATCCTGGTCGCGTCCAACCGGTGCCACGCCTGATAGGCGCCCGCCGGTGCCCGCCCCCGGCGCGGCGGTTCCGGCAACGCGGCGTTCCGCCGGCTGCTGTGACCTGGCCGCGGGGTCCTCGGCTCTCTGAGGGTCGCACGGCGCTGGCGCCACAGCGGAGGAGAGTCGGACCGAAGTCCAGGCTGGGCCTGGGACCGGAGCCGCAGCTCCCTGGTAAGCGGCCGCTCCGAGCGGGCCCGCTGTTCCCGCGGCGGCGCTCAGTGGCCCGTGAGGGGAGGCGGCCCCCAGCCCCCGGGGCGGGGCGGTTCTCTTCGGCAGGTGCGCGAGCTCGTAACGTGCGCGGTGGGTCCGAGATAGTACTACACCCTGCGTTTTGGCCTTGCAGGGTACGCGAGATTCTGGCGAGCCGGGGTGGCACGAGGGCTCCCGTTAAGCTGCCGGCGGAGACGGCCGGGGCAAGCGAGCCCTGTCGCAGGCACGGATGAGCTCCCTCGGGAGGTCGGGAGTCACGCGCTGGGCTGGATCCATGGCAAACAGGTGAGACGCTTCAGGTAACGAAAAGCCGGCCCCTGAGCTCTGCGGGCGAGCCGTGCCCTCCCGGTGCCTGCCGTGCCCTCCCGGTGCCTGCCGTGGCCCCCGTGCCCGCGCTCGCGCAGCCCAGCGTTGCCCTCCGCCATCTTGCCCGTCTGTCTGTCCGCTGCCCTTTGTCTGTCTGCGGCTCCCGGCGCCTGCGGCGGGACCGGGTAAGCCGGGCCGGGCTGGGGTTGCCGCCCGCGAGGAGTGAAACGGGCCCCGCGGCGGGACTTCCGCTGCCAGTGCCGTTCGGTTTGTCAGGGCTGCCCGGTCGGGACGTCGGGGGCCTGGGCAGGGTTCCCGCGTCCGTTCTGATGCTAGAGGAGCCGCATCCCTTTGTCTGTATGTCTGGCCGCTTGCGGGCCTGGTCCTTCCTGCCGTCTCCCGTGCGCTGGGACTGCCGGATGGATTCCCCTGTATGGGGAGGTGTCCGAGATCTTCGTGTCCGTCTGTCTGAGAAGGCTGATGCGATCCCTGTGTCTGTCTGGCAGTGCGAAGCTGACAGGATCCTTTTGTCCGTCTGCCTTGTGTCCATGTTTCTCTGTCAGCAAGAGGCTGATGAAATTCGTGTGTTTGTCCCTCTGAGGAGGCTGACGGGATCTCTGTGTCCATGTGTCTTGTGGGAAATGGGTTCAGCTCCTCCTTTTGTCTGTCTGTCTGAGAGGTCTGTTGGAAATGCCCCCTTCCTCTGTCAGTTCAACGACAAGGATGAATACTAGACTGCAGGAATAGGCAGGAGAGAGAAGGTGTTTGGACTGAGGTTGCAGCAATTTTTGAACGGGACACTCATTTTTTGAGGGGGTCAGGATTGTTTAAATGTTTACCTGAGAACTGGGTAGGACTGCCCATGTAGAACGCTTTGTGACATGCTTGTGGATTGTGTTGGATGCTGGCCTGGAATCCAGCTGTGGTGATGCAGAATGAGCCGCATAGGCAGAAGGGTGGGGAATGACCCTGGGACAGCCAGCAGAGCTTGACCAGGGACTTGGAGGGTTTCAGTGAAGTGTGTGACAGACTCTTCTCTTCTCAGATGAGCCCTCTGCAGAGGGGAGGAACACTCTCTGCCCCCAGGTCAGGGAAACATGTCCCGTCGGAAACAGACCACTCCTAACAAAGTTCACTGTGAGTATGATATTATGCAGCATTGTGGGACCCTTGCTCTGGCTGGGTTCTGGAGCGAGGTGGGGAGGAGTGGAATGACTGGAGTGATGGGAAGAGACAGCTTGTGGGGAATGGTGGTTACTCATCTTTTATCTTAGGGTATAAAAGAAGAGAAACTGAGCTCTGTGCATCAGGGAAGCTGGCTGTGTCCTGGCATAGTAGGACAGGGGTAGGCTTGAACAGCTAATGCTGTGAGTATAGGTTTGTATATGCAGGGCCTGTAGCTGGCCTTTGCATTCACACTGTCAAAAGTACAAGTTAGAACACTAGAAAATGTGGCTTGAGGCTCTGGCCTCTTGCTAGCAAAGGAAGTTCTAGGCAAGGTGGTTGGAGCATGCTGGCTAAAAGCCAGCAAGTCCTGGGTTTTGATCTTCATCCTACCACAGACTCAACTGGCTGGCCTTGGGCATGTTACTTAAGCTCACTGTACCTCAGTTTCTACCAGATGATGAAATAAAGACATTTGCTCTTTCCTGTCAAGGAATGGGTGGTGGCCAAGTAAATTACAGGACAAATAACTGCTGTCTGCCAGATCATTCTTGAGCTGAGGTGGGTAAGATGGATCTCTGTTTCTCCATCATTGCCAAGGCCTAAGCATTTGTTTGACAGTGAAAGGGTTGAAGATGCTGTGCATCAGCACTTCTCATGGGCAGCCTACAGCCAGGCACCAGTGGAGCTGGGCGGCAGAGGTGGGGGTTTGGCTGCAGAGGGGAAACTGCACATGTACAGCTTTTGTTTGGCAGCAGAGGGAATTTGAGGGGCCTGAAGTTATGCCCTTACTCATACTCAGGTTTGTGGCTGGAAACATGCTTGGAATTTGGGCTGGAATTAGGAAAACAAGTTTCGATTTCTGTAGATCTGTGAGAGCAAGGCTGCTGAGAGGGCCCTGTGTGTTTTTGGCTGCAGTAGCTGTCAGGAGTGCAAGACAGAGCTGAGTGCTGCAGCCCTAACACTGCCTCATTGCTGGTGCTGCTGGCTTGCATGTCTGTGTGTATGTGTGCTGCCTCTGTGCACAGGTACGCAACAGGCATCTGTGCATGCTGCTCTCAGTGCAAGGGGAAACTGGGCTGGAGCTGACACCTTGCACACTCGGTGAGTGCACTGGGAAGAGCTGTCTCTGCCTGGGACTCGCAGCCCCACTGGCTGGGCAGCTTGGCAGAGCCAGCCAAGCTGTCCTTGCTGGCCAGAGTGAGGTTCTCAAGGAGTGGGGCTTGTGGCACCTGCATTGCCTTGTGCTCTCTGATTCCTGCTTCTGGTTGTTGGGTTCCACTGTGGGCAGAGTATAGATTTAATTTGTCTGATAGCACATTAATGACTTTGGAGTTGTTCTTAGAGAAATTTGATATGTCTGGTATTTTATCCTGTGATGCCAGTAACATGCCTTGTGTCCACACACTTCTGCTTCTTAGAGTGCCCAGGTATTACTGCTGTTATTGAGCTCAGGTTTATGTCATGTATGCAATTAAGCTATCTTCCTTGGTCCAGAGTTGGGATTTCTTGAGTATGGAAACCAAGCACTACAACAGCTCTAATTGTGCAGATAGAGTTTCCATGGTCTTTAGCTGGGTACTTTTCTGCACTTCACTGCATAAGGGCTGTGTTCTTCAGAAGCTGGTACTATCATATACCAAACTCTACGTATCACAAAATTCAGTGGTGCACTGTTTTCACAGTGAATATTGCTTTTTTTATCTGCAATACAAATGATTGTATCTCCAGTCCTGGTTTTGGAGGAGGCTGTCTGACAAACACGCTGCCAGGGGGCAGGAGGTTATAGCATCAGGTATGCCACGGAGTGGAGTTCTGGGACCTGTTCATCTCCTTTACATGCAGTACGTTGCTACAGAGCAACTGTTCATCAGGAGCCATCGAGAGCAGCAAGTAGGACCACAAGAAAATAAGGGGACCAAGAGATACCAGAAACTTGTCAATGGTGATGTCTTCACCTTGGGATGGAAAATCTTATCTATCTTATGATGAACACCACGAAATCGTTGGGACTTCTCTGTCTACCTAGCCTGCTGTGTGTCTGGAGGGCCCAGAAATGCCGTGCAGTGCCCTGAAGAGGATAATCGGAGAAAACACCGGCTCCAAGAACGGGGTGAGCCAGCAGAATGAGGAGTCAGGCTGAGACATAGCAGACACGTTACTGGGACTTCTTCACAGGGCCTGCAGTGGTTGGGAGGAGAGGAATGAAAGGGACAGCAGGTATGCAGCTTTTTACGCAGTTGCCTGCAGCTGGGGTCTGATTTGGCAGGCTACGGGGCTGGGGGACTGCCTTTTGGATTTGCATAAATACGACTGTGCATATATGACTGGACAAATTTGATGGGAGGATGGTGCCTACTTCTTCCTTGCATGGCCACTCCATCTTCTCTTCCTTCTTGGACTGATTAGGGCGAGTGACAGCCGCTGATTTCCTCTCGTTGGCTTGCTTGGTGTCTCCTCTTTCCAGGATTACTTTGCAGGCTTGGCATGGCCCTCATTTCACCTTGCTCTCACAACACCGTGGGTTTTCTGTCCTCACTTAGGACAGAATCACTTTGCTTGGCAAGCAGAGCAAACCAGCTAGGAGATTGTATGGTTACAAATCAAAACAGTTTTAAATAGAAGTTGATATGTAAGAAAAGTCAAAATAATACTGAAACAATGATAAAAATTATGGTAAAATTTATCACAAAAGTCTTTCTGTGCATGATGGCCAGTCCCACAATTTTAATTTAGTCATTGCCCCTGCAGCACATAAATGGCTCTTAAGAATATAATTTTATTTTGCCATGTGGTGCATGAAAAACATACCTTACAAAGTGCTAACAAACTGAGCAGTAATAGTGGAATATGCTTGTTGAAAAATAAAATGCGGTTAGATTGCTTGTGGGGAGATACCTTAATTTGGTCATTTGTTTCAATTTGGTCTTTTATTTTCTCCCAGAGTATGCAGTATAAAAGTATAAAAACTCTAAGCAATTCATCTGTTCTTGCATTCATCTGTTACTGTGCTGTCACCCCACCAGTCATGGACTACTTGCTGTCTTCGTGCTTGCCAAAATTTGTTGCAGGTATTAGCATGCACTTCTCTCTCCCTGCTGTCCACAAGCTGCTTTGCTTTCTATTGCCTGTGTCCTCTGCACCTGATGCTTAGATGATTTTAGAACTCTGGATAAGAGCTTTTGTTAGTCAGATTAATTCCTGCTTCTGAGCTCTATTTATCATGGCTCCAATATCCCATTAATCCTCTATTTCCTTCCCTCTCTCTCTAACACACACATGTTCTGTGCTCTTTGGTGTTCCTTGGATTCTCCTGTCTATAATAGTCCCATTTTGAAGGGAAAGTACCTTGCAAGAAATAGAACCCAGCATTCACAACTGAGCAGAAATGTTGCGTGCATCAAATCCCTTGGTTCTGAAGGGCTCCGTGGACTGCCATTGTTAACTGTTTCAATTGTGTTGTTTTTCATTTCAGTAACCACTACAGCAGTGTGGACAACCCAGAATAGCCATGGGGCAGGTGGAATAGATCCACAGTGGTGGAAAGACTTGCAAATTTCAGGTCCAGGAACACAGAGAAGACCTACATGAACAGGGACTTTAAATTTATGTACAAGGAGGGAATAAACTGACTCATCTGTGAGAGACCGTTCTGTTTAGGAAGGAAGGCAGGAGAATGATGTAGTCCCTTTGCATTTTGTTTTGTGGATTTTGGGGTGGGAGTTGTTTGTTTATGTGTTTATTTTCCAGAACACCTGAGAGTTATCCTGCATTTATACAGTTCAAGAAGGGAAGGGCTCAGGGCTGGTACCCTAGCAGTGATGCCTGCCCATGTTACACAGTACCACAGGGCTGTCCCCTATTTCCACCACTGCTGACTTGGCATCCCTCTCATTCCCAGCAGTATGGAGAGGAGAATGGAATACAAAGCAGAGGCATTTGTGTCATCTCTCTTGTCTTACATCTCTAGCTGTTTGTAAACAACTACAGTGACTTGTTTTGGTGTTGTGGTCAGTCTGCAGCCCTGTTTGTATTTAATAAAGAAACTTATGGAGAAGAGTCTGTGAATTCACTGTTGAGCATAACATCCTTTACTTATGGCAGTGATCCTAAAGCTGTTGCCTGTCCAACTCCTCTTCCAAGTGAATGGAAGCGTATCCAAAGTGGGGTGGAGGTGGGGGTGTGTCTGTTTATGAGCATGTGTGTGCAGAAACATCAGAAGTTTAACCCTGGACCTATCCAACATTAAAGTTGTAAAGTTTAATCAAAGGAGGACTTAGTCTGTCAGTAGATGAACAGGATACTCTTTCCTAAGTTCTTTTGTACGCTATTACTATAATACATAAGAAATTTTGTACAAGGGGAAGACAGTATTTTTCCATGTTTGCCTTTCCCAGTCCCATGATGTTTTTAGACAGAGGCTGGGGAGGATGCACACAGGACGTGGCCTGCTAACAGCACGGGTTTGGTTAACAGCTTGCATTGCTGGCTGTAAGCTGGTTGTTGTCTGCACTGTGCCGAGTCAATACTCGCTGGGCTCGGGGGGTGTTGCACAGAGGCTGGAGGCACACACAGTTGCTCAGTAACTGACCGATACCAGTGTTCCTTATGTGAGGAGTTCCTTCTTCTGTCACCTCAGATAAAGATCCCAGCTCTTAAATCCTGCAGACTGTCTGCGTGGTTTGTATAGCTGAGCAGGAGCCTGCCCTGCCTTAGGACTCCAGGCTGCTGCTCAGTGGGAGTGTAATCTGTCTGAAAGGGAATAGGGGGAAAAAAACAAACAAGTAATTGCTTCCACGAGCAGCCTGTGGCATTTGGGAGTTCTGTTTTGGAACTCTGTCAAAGGCAGCAGCACATCTCCCATTGTGGTTTTATATCTGTTCTGTGTTCTGCAGGTTTCCTCATTTCATCATGCTTTCTCTTTCTCTTGCAATGCTTTTTTGGTCTATGGACTTTTATCCTGGTGGTTTGTGGGTTTCTGCTTCTTGGAGAGGCACGGGGTTTCTGTGGTGTCTGCTGCTTGTACAGTCTGTATCTCAGTCCCATCCATGTGGGGCTATGGTCCCGATATAAAAACAGCACTCCAGGTCATGAAAACCATTCAGTGCTGGAATGGCTTCTGAAGGGCTATCACAGCAGTCATGATGGTCCCTGCTGCTTTCAATGACAAATAGACTTGGCCCTCCTCAGCACCTCTCCTCAGGCACATGGATTGTGCTCTCAAATCTCTACAGCACTCTTTCTCACATTTCTGAAAGAGAATGATAAAAGCCTTCAAATTATTTCGGAAACCTACATGGGGACATGGGGAACTAAAATTCTTCTCCCACGGTCTCAGTGAAACTTCTGAAGGTCTTTGAAATCTTCCATAAATCACAGCTTTTTAAAGCCCTGCCAAAATTGCAAGGTGAGCCCCAAGGAAGGCAGTGTGAGTGGGAACATGGAGCAGCACTGGCTGGAACAGTTCAGCACGTGGGAATGTACCTGTCCTTGTAACAGGACTGCTGCTCTTTCTCGGGAGTTCAGTTTCCTGGTTATAGTGGTGCCAGCTGTGGCCCTGTACTAAAAGGTAACTTTGTCTTCTGAAAGCTATGTTTTGATTTTATGTGAAAAATGCACTGCGTTTTCCTTGGCATTTTCACATTTGTGCTTTGAATGGTTCTTGAGCACTTTCAAATCAGTTGATAAATGCAACCCAAAAGCCAGCCTGCTGGGAACTTCAGCACCTTTCCCAAGCCTCCCAGCTCATCCACTGGAAAAGGTAAATCACGACTACACCTGGAACAATGTAATTTGTTTGCTTTAATATGAAAATTAATGGTTGCCTTTTACTGTTATTCTCTGGAACCAAAACTTCTTTGAGCAGGGATTGCTGTAAGAACTTTTCATTCAGAGTACAAATAAATACTTTATTTCAAGGTATTTGCCACGTCCTATTGAGCTGAGGTACCAGTGGTCACTGTTTTCAACTAAACAAATTGTTTTGTCCTAAGCATGCATCTCAGCCCTCTGGGGTCATTCCCTTGAGCACATGAAGAACCAATGAGATTTATTTTAGTGAGAGCCATTCCTGGGCAAGGCAGGGTAGCTTTCTATTCATCATATACACAGGAGAACACCAGTTTCAAGCATAGACACCTTCTGTAAGGGCAGCTTGTCCTCATCCCTCCTGAGACAGAAGAAAGTGACACTGTGAAGGGCAGGTGAGGTACCAGCACTTAGGGAGGTGCTGTTTTTGTGCAAAATGCCTGCTATAGCTAGGAATAAGAGTTAATAATTTATAAGAGCTGTACAGTATTATCCCTGATCTGGGATACTGTCACAGTCCCCAGGGGCTGCCCCCCATCCTGAGCTGTGCTGTAGGATATTGGTGGATAGCTTGGCAGCAGCAAGAGCCACCTGGCTATTTATGGCAGATATATGGGGTCAGAGGCATTTTGTGGCTGGAGTGGCATACACATAGTATGCGGAGGGCAGCCCAGTGCTGCACATTGCCACTAGTGAGACTCTTCTACATCCAGGCACTGGACTCACATCAGCAGGTGCCAGAGGCTGGTGTGGCAGGGTAGGCAAGCAGAGAAGTGACCTAAGTGCTTTCCAAGAGGTGACTCCAGAGGTTCTGCACGGTGCAGGTGAGCAACCCCATGCCTGTTGTATTTTTGGCAAGCCTTGGTGGTGGGAAGCAGTGGAACAGCACCAGTCTGACTCTTTGTCTTTGTGGCTGCTAGGGGAGCAAGTCTTTGCAGGGCTGGAGGAGCAAGCCCGCCAAGCCATGATGAAAAATAACTTTCGTGGAACTCTTGGGGACCAGAGGCCAACAATTCGTCCACTCCAAGACCCTGACTCCAGCAGCAGTGAGTTCTTCCCCTTCCAGTAACACTGAGGTGGGAGACTGGAAAGGGGTGAGGCTGAGGGCTGCACGGTGTGTCCGAGTCCTCTGAGGACCATCTTACCCAGCTCCTCCGCTGGGTTAGCGCTTTGCTCCAGTGCAGCACCTTGTCCTAAGGACCAGACCAGCACAGCACAGCCCGGGCAATGCCATGGGACCCAGTGCCATTTCACCAGAGCAGGGTGGGCACAGCAGCAGCTCTGCCTGAAGATCTGGCAGTCGTTGAGCAAGGCAGTGTAAAATGCCATGCCCAGGACTCAAGTGCCCTAGACTGAGTTTAAATGGAAGCTGTAGTTGGAGGGAGTGGGCAGAGGCCCCTTGTAATGCTTGTCAGGACAGTTAAAGCCTATGAGTGCCATCAGTGTCCTGACACGTGGTAAAACTGTTCTGCACGTTTCAGGTGGCAGCGATGATGAGGAAACCACTCAGGATGAAGTTTCTTCCCATACGTCTGAGGAAGATGGCTCAATGGTGAAAGTGAAGAAGGAATTAGAAAACGCAGAACGACCTGTGGCTGGAACCCCATTGATAAGAGAAAATGAGGCAAGTGTGTACTGGCTCTGCACTCACTGTAGCCTCCAGGGAGAGAGAAGGGTACTGGGTACTGTCTGAACACTTCCTCTCCCCATCATGTTTCTTTATGTTTCTCTCCCTCCCACCTCCTCCAAACAATGTCTCCTGGCAGGAGGAAGGGGTATGGAGAGCCTTGTGGCTGCCTGGAACAGGAGACAGCAGGCACAAACTGGCCAAGATGTTCGCAGAGTGCAAACCCTTCCCTTGGTTCCGGTACCATTTTCTGATTGGCTTCCCCTAGCCACAGAAAAGGCCCTGCCTTTTAGAATCACTGTGCTAGCAAGAACCTGGGTGCAAGTGAGGCTGTGAGGCCTCTGCCCCCTCTCTGTGAGCTGCACGGGTTTTGCTCAGAGGCTACACGAAGGACTCTGCTTTGAGATGCCTAGCGCCCGCGGCAGCCTGGCAGGCCTGGGAGGAGCCGAGGAAGGGCGGGGTGCCTGCGGGTCGGTGTGCCTTACAGCCAACGGCTCTTCCTGCCCGTAGGTGCCTGAGAGTGTGAACGCTGAGCCCATGCTGGGACTGTCACAGTGCCCCCTCTGCCAGCTCGAGTGTGGAAGCAGAGATCAACTCATTGCACACGTCTACCAGGTAGGGATGGTTCCAGCTGTGGAGTGTCTCTGGCCTGAAGCCTCAAAATCCAGAAACAACTCAAAGCACAGGGTAACTTTGTTCTGGTCTTTGCAACCACAGAACTGAGTTTCTAGCTAGGATGTGACTGAAGTTTACAGCTGTAAACTGTGTCCAGAGGGTGTCTTGGGGAAAGAATTAGCAAGGCCCTGGTCTACAGATCTGGAAAACATAACTCTATGCCAAGGCAGTCTCTGCAAGTATTTCAGGCTAAAACCAGGCAGTTCCTTCAAACTAAACATGGAAGCAATTTTTATATTATTCAGTGAGATAAAAAAACCTTCCTCCTGATCATTTATGTTGTACTTCATTACAGTTCCTGTAATTATCCATGACAGTAGCTGTACTTCCTCAAAATTATTCCAGTTTTGCAAGAAATCTGTGGTGAAACCTTAGGTTTTGTTGTCAGTGCTTTCTTCATAGCACATCAAAGTCTGTAGCAGAAGGAATGAAACAGAACTTACTCGTACCATTTGTCTCCCTGTAAGTGCTTCTTTACCAGCATCCAGCCTTGCTTTTATTGAGTCGTGCTTTGTCCTGCACCAGCAGTCCCTCAAATGCATTCCTGAAAACAAGGGTCAGGTCTTACAGTCCAAGTAGTTTGGTCTTAATTTTTTCTCCTGCACTGGAGTTGAGCTATAAAGGGCTTTTCTCCTTGTTTTACCTGTGACACAATGAATTACTTGTCTTGAGCTTCGTCTAAAAGCTGGCAGACAGAGGTTTAGTGGTAAAGGGTTCCCATTCCAAGAGGCTGAACAGAATGGTTTGAGCATGCCTTGGACTGGGCAGGGAGCTGGGAAATATGTAACTAGCACCTGAGTGGTTGTTTTGCAGCACACTGGAGCGGTGGTGAGTGCCAAGAGCTACCTGTGTCCTGTGTGTGGCAGAGCCCTCAGCTCCCCAGGATCCCTTGGGAGACATCTCCTGATCCACTCAGAGGACCAGCTGTCCAACTGTGCAGTTTGTGGAGCACGCTTCACCAGCCACGCCACCTTCAACAGGTCAGGGTCACCCTGGCCAATGAGTGGGCTAGGTAGCACATTAAAGATTAGGTGGGTTGCCTTGAACGACTCAGAAGTTGTGGCTCTGGACCCACTGAGGCCTGTAGGACAGTGCTAAACACCCCCAGTGAGTGAGATTCTCTTGATCCCTTCCTGTCTGCAGCTCTGCATGCCCTGCCAAGAGGTCTGCAGGCTGTGTGGGTAAAAGGGTCTCTCTTAGTGCTGTGCAGAGCTAGAGAAAGCGCTGTGGGCTCCAGTCACTGGAGAACAATCCACCCCTTCCCTTGCCCAGCAATCCATTGGAGCAAGGCTGCACTATCCAGATGGGTTCATCATTGCCAGAGCAGGACTACGGGCAGAGACCAAAATGTTCTTTCTTTGTGTCCGGCCTAGTGGGAGATTATCCACTGACCAGTGGAGTGGGGCTAGAAAGAAATTCAGAGATGATGGGGAGGAGAAGCTTGCTGGTTTATTCCCACTCTTGCACTCTTCCATACCAGATACTGCTCTGGGCTAATCCAGTTCCTTGCCCTGGGCAGGACCATGCTTTATTTTAGATACTCAGACATATCTGTGGGCCAGTGATTGAGCAGAGGGCTCTGCCATGGGCTGTAGCGGGAGCAGCGTTCATGGCAGCCCACGGGGACTCTGCCCACAGCACCAAGCCTCTGACTCCGTTCCTCCCGCTTTGCAGTGAGAAGCTGCCAGAGGTGCTCAGTGCGAACCGGCTGCCGGCACCGCAGAGCCAGGGCCCCTCCAGCGCTCAGGGGAAGGATGTTGCCTTCTGCACCCCCGTGTATCCCGCGGGCATCCTGCTGGTGTGCAACAACTGCGCCGCGTACCGCAAGCTGCTCGAGGCACAGAGCCCCGGCATGCGCAAGTGGGCCCTGCGGCGCCAGAACGAGCCCCTGGAGGTGCGGCTGCAGCGCCTGGAGCGGGAGCGCACGGCCAAGAAGAGCCGGCGGGACAATGAGACGCCCGAGGAGCGCGAGGTGAGGCGCATGCGGGACCGGGAGGCCAAGCGGCTGCAGCGCATGCAGGAGACGGACGAGCAGCGGGCGCGGCGGCTGCAGAGGGACCGGGAGGCCATGCGGCTGAAACGCGCCAACGAGACCCCCGAGAAGCGACAGGCCCGGCTCATCCGCGAGCGCGAAGCCAAGAGGCTCAAGCGGCGCCTGGAGAAAATGGATATGATGCTCCGGGCACAGTTCGGCCAGGACCCCTCTGCCATGGCCGCTCTGGCAGCTGAGATGAACTTCTTTCAGCTGCCAGTGAGCAATGTGGAGCTGGAGAGCCAGCTGCTGGGCAAAGTGACCTTTGAGGAGCAGAGCAACAGTGCGTTGCACTAAAGCACAGCCAAGAACTGTGCTGCCTTTGCCGCACCTGCCACGTGTGCAGCAGCAACAGCAGCAGCGTCTGCGCCCAGGAGGCTGCTGTGGGGCCCTGCCTGACCCTCCCTGACAGATGGTTCCGGTTTTCCTCTGAACCCAGGAGGAGAACAGAGCTGAGAGATGCCTGCCAAAGCAGCTCTGGTGGGAGCAGATTCTGAGGATACAGTCTGCTCTGGGGGCCAAGTCACAGCCTGTGACAGAATGAAAATAAATTAATGTATTAATTAACATTAATTAATGTTCACATGTATTAGTCCCCTTCTTTACCCTTTGTGCTTTGTCATGGTTTTGGGCCCTTGCCCCATAAATGGGTCTGGGCTACTGCAATTCTGCAGTATTCCCCCTCAATAAAAAAGGGTCTTGTTTACTGCAGCATGAATTACAGAGCTGAAGACAGATAATCCACAAACTCTTCCAGGACTAAATCCTTTGCAATTTGTGCCTGTAAGAAGGAAAGAAAGGAGGATGTCCTTCTGGAAATGCCTGTGCACACCCTTTTAAAAATATCGTTATGACATATTTACATATTTTGCAGTGTTATCCATGGAAAAACTAAGGAACCTGAGGTCCTGTTTTAAGACAAAAACAGTGAAATAAAGTTTTCACTCGTAAAAACAGTGAAAGAAAGGCTGGCCAAGGTAAACAAATAGCAAACAAGTTTGCTGCTTTACTCACAAGTTATTTTCACTTAAACAGCATTTCAGGCTTGCAAGTGAAAGAGTTGATGGAATGGTAAATAATAGCGCAGGTCAGTTTCTAGGACTGTATGGGTGTGCTGCTTTTCCCTTTATTCAGCACTGGTGAGGCCACATCTGGAGACCTGTGTCCAGTGCTGGAGTCCCCAGTGCAAGAGCAACACAAACATACTGGAGGCAAAATGTCATTGTAGCCTGTGCCTACAGGAAAAGGTTCCTGTTACTAATAGAAACCACTATAAAACTGTGCAACTATGGAGATGGTATCTAGGCATCTTTAAATTGCAAAAGGCAAAGCAGTGGCACATGACTCAGGGCAGAGCAAAGAAGTGGTACGCTCTCCATTATTTGGCTTCTTTAAGAATGAGCACCTGAAAGTCCATGGTGTTAGCTTTGTGGTTTTGAGACGTCAGCCCACCAAGAGCCAGTGTGCCACATTTCTGTGTTTGTAGCCTGAAAACCCCTATTACCTCCACAGCATTTGCAGTTAGGGTCTAGAGTCATACAGTGGATCAAACACCTTGGGAAGTACTGTCTTCTCACTGATGGCTGTTTCTCTTTAAGTCAGAAATGGTGACTGCAAGACTGCTACTTGAGATCAGAAGAGTAAAGTTAAAACAAGAAGCAAAATCTTTTTATCAGACTGCTTAAAACCCTCATTTCCTCATCATTTTTCAGTTTGAAAAACATTTGATTGCAGTCCCTTAAAGCCCTAGTTAAAATAGTTACCTTCCAAATGCATAATGTTGCATTTTTCTGGCAATAATGAACCACTCTCACAGTCAGCCCTGGGGATGCTGCTAGGAAACAGCATTGAACCTTTTCAGTGCAAGTTTTCTCCTCCTGCCACTGCAACATCTAGTTTCCTCCCTGTACAGAAGCTGTTTTAACATGATGTTCATTCATCATGTAGAACTGACACCCAGGAGCCATCCCTGCTTCTCTCTCTTTGGGAAAAGGCACTGTAAAGGAGCTGTTGAGTTCCATGTTCCTTTGTTCATATCCTCCTTTGTTCTCTGATCTCTCACTTTTATCCTTACCTGTGTTCGTTTCAATACTCAAACCCCGAGTTTGCTTCTGGCAGTATCTGCTTTTGCTCTGCCTCATGTTTTACGTGCCCAGCAGAGATGAACCTCTACTCTGCAACCTGCAGTTGGAACCTTCCCTGCAGCGTCACCGACACCTTATCTTTATTCCAGGGGGTTCAGGAGAGACCACAGAACACAGAAGTATCTGAAGACCCGGAATTATGACTTGTAATCCATGTGTCACTCTGTATCTTGCCCTTGACATGACTCCCCAGATCACTGTGTAAATCCAGAGAAGCCACACGCTAATGACCACTGATACTGTAGACAAGCAAAAAGTCTCAAACACCAAAGGAAAAGCTATTGGTTTATATATAGATATATATATATATGTATATAGATATATACTGTGTTTACAGAGTCAACAAGTTAAATGCAATATTCATAAAAGCATTAACAATAAAAATACAATCTGTTTGTAGGCAAGTACAGACTTAAAATGGTAAAACAGGAAAAAGGATCTCACCAAAGTACAAATATACAGTACAAATTGATTTATTTAAAACAGTTACAAAAAAAGCACAACAAAATAGAGATTATCCTTAGAATTATTAATGCTTTGTTAAAGATCAGGTAGGAGGAAAGGGGCAGGGACAAAGTTGGAGGGGAGCACCTGACTAGTTCTAAGGCTTTAGATACACTGCATCGGTTACATGTTAATACAGCCATATACTGGGGGTTATAGTGAGGGGTCAGCACTTATCTACAAACATCTCTCTGCCTCAGGGCAGCCCAGCCAGCTCCCCCATGTCCCTCTCTCGCTCTGAGCACACCCTCCCGGGCGCTAAGGTGCCATGAAAGCCGAAAACAACTCGAGTGTGCCAGGGGCGTGTTGGCAGGGTGGGCGGCAGCAGCCCAGACCGACGGGGCAATTCTGTCCTTGACAGACAGTGTGAAGGCCGTGGAAGGGCCTGGACCATCAGCATTTTAAACTCTATGTGGAACACCCTGGGCCAAACTGTACAGAATGAGTATTTGTAGCCATCTTAGCAGCTGCTGACAAGTGTCAGGCTCTAGCATGGCTCCAAAGACAGGGAGCAGTTGTGAGTGACGCTGGGGAAGGCACGCGTGCTGCTGCGGGCAGGAACTAGCATTTGGGCTACTCCAGCTGCTGTAGTTTCTTTTACAATATTTTCTGAGTAACAAGGATTGTTAGTTCTCTATGGGACAAAGTGACTTGAAGTGTGGGGTGGGGACAGGGACACAATGTGAAAAGTGCAATATAAAAGCTGCTCAGCAGCTGGAAGGGGAAGGCAGAGGGCCCTCTGCAGCTTCCATCTCTTCCAGACAGAGCTTCCTCTGCATAGTCTGGTAGTGATGAGCTCTCATTGCTGTGAATGCACAGCCCAGAGATAGGCTTGGCTCTGTGTGCAGCTAACCCAAGGCATGTTCCATGGGATGGGACAGATGGCTACAGACACCCATTATTGCATCCCACGGACTCCTGCTCCACAGTGTGAGCTGGATAAGATCAGGGCCTCCTCCAGGCAGGACACACCGCGGCTCTCCTACCCTAGACAATAGCAGCAGGAACATGGTATATTTCTCTGAGAAGTCTGTCACATCTCTGCCAGCAGAAAAGCCCAGGTAACCAGCCCACTCTGCAATGTCTTCCTGGCTTTATCTCCTTCTTTCCCTGTAAACCCAAGAAATAAAAGCCTCCTCCATGGGCTCATTCACAGCCCTTCTCACTGCAGCAGAGCGTGTCTCACACGCTCCCTGTCCCGGGAGAGCCTCAGTGCTCAGCACAACCACCACTATGGTGCTAAGCCATACAGCCCTGTCCAGTGAGGACACGTTCCTGTGACACCAGTACTGCTGGGCTGGGCTGAAGAGTTGCCAGTGGCCCCCTCCTGCCCACCCTTTGGGGCAAACAGCCAGATACATGGATTCTTCATCTCAGTCCCCCGTCATGAGCTGTGCTTCAAACCACTGCTTCCAGGGAAGAGCTGGCAGGTGAAACACACAGCAGTGGGACTGACAGAGTCTGGATAACAGCACCGAGGGCCAGTTCAGCACGGCCTGTCCCACAGAGCTTGGGACTGCACCCAACAGAGGAGCAGCAAGCCAAAGTTCAGGTCAGCAGCCAGGTAAACAACAGGGCAAGCACCTTCACAGCCCTTCACCTGCCTACAGTACAAAGCTATTTAAGTCATAGCATCTTGCCTCATTTGTCAGTGCTGTCCATTCAGACCACTGCAGTGTGGCTGAGATCGAGGAGTTACAGTAACACACGTGGTGTTAAGGCAAGCTCTCCAAACCCTCGCTCTAAGACAGACTTTGGGGCTCAGAGGCACTCAAGGGGCTCTGCAGCATCAGTTGCTGAGACATTGCCCCTATGGTGTAACCAGCCCTTCTACATTCACATGCCACACGAGATCCCTTCCTCGAGTGCCTGTCGCAGCCCAGAACTCCTCTGCATGCACCGTGCATAGAACAGGCATGAGAATCCTCTGCCTCCTGCCTTTGGCCACAGACACCTCAGATATCCTGAGCATTAAGTACTGATTACCAACACTAATAGAGAGTTTTACGTAGGAGAGTCCAGTCAGCAGGAGCTGTGACACCCCCGGGTGACAGAGGGGCCCAGGTGGACACTTCACTGACAAAGGGATTGTGAAAACAGCATCTGTTCCCACAGCTGCTGCACCTGAGAAGGCAGAATCTTCACACAACAGTGCCACTGCCACTTCACACATCCCAAATGCAGCTGATGAAACCAGAAGTAGTGTGTCATTTGGGAGCAGCTACACGTGGTACAGGCAGCATCCTCATTCTGAGAACCCTGTGAGGCACAAACACTGGGGGCATGTTTAGCACACATCTCACCAAAGGCCTGTCCTGGTGCAGGCATTTTAAAGGCAACAGAAATGGCCAGCAATGCGCTAGGAAAACAGGACTGAGGCCGGGATGGAAGGGACATTCTAGAGACTAACTTGCCTAATACACAGGCAGAGCATGCATCCATTGCAGTCAGCAGAAGCCAACCAGTTACAGGACACACTCCTGGGGAGTGCAGAACAGCCCTGAGACAGCACCACTGCAAGGAGAGGTGCTGACACACACCATTCTGTGACACAGAGGAGTGGCACCCCAAGAGTCAGGCACACTTGACAAATTTCAGGCAGATGAGAGCAGGGAGACAGAAACAGCATGCTGAACATCAGGACTCTGCACACTAAGAAAGGCCCCCTCCAAAGGCTGGTCCTAGCACAGAGATGGGCACCTGAACACAAAGAATACCCAGTCCAGGTTAAGTCAGTGAAAACCGCTTTGTCACCAGAACACTGATGTTCTGTGATGAACAGTGATGTGTGTATTTTGTCCTAGCTGAGCAATGGTGTCATAGCACACCATCAGAGAGAGCAGATTAGTGTAACTACAGGAGACTTCACTCAATAGTGTTACCGCCACAATCAGCTGCTCATACACAATTGTATTAAATCTCACCATGAAAAAGACTACTCTTGATTTGACCACATTGTTCTACAGAGGAACTCTGAAATGAAGCATCAGAAAAACTAACACAAAATGACCCCAAAATGCCCTGTGACACTATGGTATTTTTAGAGCCCCTGCATTAATCATGGAATTGTACTTAGCACAAACTTTGTACCTTGCCTGCACGTCTTGTCTAGAGCTTATTCAGGAAACTGCCTGCAGGGAAGAATTAGCCATCTGGAATATTTTTCTGACTTAATTACAAGATAGTATTGGTCTTCTCAAAGAAAAATGCTGAATGTATTTTGCTCCAGATTAAAAAAACAAAAAAAAAACAAAAAAAAAACCCAATAAAATATCCAAAACCAAAATTCAACCAAACAAAAAAATCCAACCCCATTCATCCCCAGGTTAAGCCTCTGCAAAAGCTATAAGCCCAGGAGGGTTTTTTGAAAGTTATTAACATGGGAAGAAAGATTTGATTTAGTGGCAAAACAGCTAAGTAGACTTTATAGCAGGAAATAACATCTCCC